GCTTTTGACTGGGAAAACCCTCATAATTGGAGAGCAAGGCTAGTCCAGTCACACAAGCTAAACTTATATAAGTTAATAGCATATAGGTTCAATCTGATAATATAAGGAGGGATATAAGGTGGATGCATTGATCATAAAGTATTGATATTTGAATATATATGGTTGTGTAATAAAATAAGTTATATGTTATGAAATGATTTTATGATTATGATTGCCACACTTTAATATGCTTTAATTATATTATTGGTTACTGAGATTTTTTAATCCAGGAGACGATAAGGCTAAGGAAAAAAGGGAGGTGTTGGCACCAAAGAACTAGAGCTTCACTTGTAAAATCTCTTTTTTTTCCAACACTAGGACTATTTCATACATACATACATATATATATATATATATATATGTATGTATGTATGTATATATATATAATGAATTATGAATCATTTATATATAAGCACTAATTGTAGAATTGGCAATTTTGGTGAGTAGCCAACATTTTGAGAAAAGGCCAGTTATGCAAATGTGTAGATAATTATGGTTGATGTTTTCTCATACCTTGGCATATTTATACAATGAATGTGTGTGCATAATTGTCATTGAAATGGATTCAACATTTCAATTTGATATGAGAAGGGAGATACTCTGCTTATATTGGCACTTAGTATTCTAAGATCCTCATTTGATACCAGATTGAGTTGTAAATAGTACCATGAGTTAGGTCTCCTAATTATCTATGTGTGGATACTTGGATCACTTTAATTAGAGGTCCCAATGATTAATTATGTGTTTGAAGTTTAAATTCTATGTGTCATTTATTATACTAATATGAGATGTTCCACAATGGTGAATAGCTGTTTAGTTATGACAGATGAGTCAATTTGGTTGGCTATAATGGAAAGTTGCTTAGTTGCAACCAATTGGTCACTATAGCACTGGTAGCGGTGGAAGGACTTCTAGTCATGGCGGATGTGCATTGACTTGCTTTAAATGCTCTTTTTTTCCCTTGTGTGTTTATTCCTCAATGCTATTCTATTTTCTTATGTTTTTGTATATCTTTCCACTCTGATTCTTGAAAGAATTTAACTACATTATTTATTCAATATTTTCAAATGATTTTTGGGATCCAAACTTCTAGTCTTCTTTTGTAAGTTTAATCTATCGTCTTAGCTATGATTGGTTCTCAGTGATTATGAATGATTGTGGTTAATTGGGTTAATGATAAAGGTCATGATAAGTAACATGATCATATTGCATGATCATAGATAAGCAGGAGTTCACCCAAAAGAGTAGAACGTTATGGAAATCCATGTGATACTCGCCAACATTATGACACCTATGTGTTTTAGTTCTTGATTAGTACCCTGAACTAGGAAAAATGACACTTTATGAGTTCAAAAAAAGTATATCTATGGTTTGAGAGTTAGTATATGGCCTTCACCAAGTCACCCGTAATAATTAGAAAGCGAGGCTAATTCAATCATAGGAATTAGTCCTATATGATTTAATAGCTCAAAGATTCAGTTAAAAGATAAACGAAGGATAATAAGGGTGAAGCATGATCTTTGTTGAAGTCTAGAAGTTGCACATGTTTTATTTTCATAAATATATATATATATATATCATTATGATACATGTTGAATAATTGTAGAATTTCTAAATGTGATTGTATGCTTAAATTGCTTCTATATGCCACATAATTATATTCTTGAATTTATGTTCTTGATTACTGAGAATGTATAATCTCACTCTTGTAGTTTAATATTTTCTAGGAGACACTTTGGCTTTAGGACAAAGGGAAGCAAACGAAACTAGAGACACCTAACTATTGTAATGTCCCTAGTATCTATGTATCTATAATTGAATAACATATTGCCAACATCAAGATTCATTTTCATTAAGTTATCTGTCTACATTGTAGCCTATTTGTAGACATAGGAATCTTTAGTAAAGGCCCTACTCTTTATTAGATAGGCTGGCACCTAAGAAGGGGTGAATTGGGTAATACTAAATTTTTCTATAAAAATCAAAGGAGAGGAAGATAGAAGTAAGGAAAGAAGAGATTATACACAAGAGATTTATCCTGGTTGTAATGACCCTAAATTTTAAAATAAAAAATTTTTTGTTTTTTGATTTATATTTTATTTAAATTTATTTTATGGTAAATGAAAAAGAGTGAATTAGTGAAAATTATTAATAGCTTACTTGAAGGTCTAAAGTTTTAATATATTTTTCTAAAAATATATTAATTTTATTTAGTTTAAAATTTTGGAAAATTTACTAAAGTGCCTGTGTCTTTTATGTTATTAGAGAAAATGTTGGGCTCTCTTTTGTAATATTTGCAATTTCTTAAAGTTCAAATTTATGTTCCTCCCTCAGTCAAATATGCATACACCGCCTCTTTTTTTTTTCTCCTTCTTTACCAGAACCGAGAGAGATCGCCTCTTCTCTCCCTCTGTTCTTTCAGCATTCATCCTTGCCATTGCTGGTGTGAGTGTGAGCCAAAGAGAGAGTTGAGAGTCTTGGTCCTTTGTTCTTCTCCATCCATTTCCTTTCTGTGTCTCTGAAGTGTACGAGTGAGGAGCTAGGCTGTTCAGTCTGTCACTAATGTCAGTGTTCGTTATGAATTCGCTACTATCAAGAACTAAAGTCGCGAGTTCGTCCACTCCCCTGCTCCTCCAATGGTCTTCTTTTCATGCAATGGTGATGCCTAAACCTCTCTCCCCTGTTTGTTTTCATTAATGAATCCTCCTTTCCCATTTTTTCTTTGATTTGTTACCAGTGCTCAAGTGAGAGAGGAACTGAAATTCTTGATCTCTTTCGCCTTCTCCTTCCTTCCTCAATTGCCTTCAACATTGCGAATGTGGTTGTGAGCTGGAATGCCATAATGTTCTTGAATTGAATGTTTCTAGCTGAAGTTATGATCATCTAAAGTTTGGGATCAATTATGTGTTCATAACATGTTAAAACTAGATGAAAAGAGATTAAGCTTTATTGTTATTTAACTATGGATGTTGGTTATTGGTAAGATGTTTTAAAAATTCTAAGTGAATTGGAATGAGCTTCGGTGGTGAATGGTGGAAGACAAGCATTTTATTTCTATGTTGGAGCTATGCAATTAAACCAAAAAAAAATTAGGATTATTTAGCTGAAGTAATTTGAAGGACTAGAGACTATATTAATAGGCATATCTACAATATCTCCCTCTGTTTTAAGGGAATTAAGAGGAATTTAGGATTCTATTTCTGCTTTTATTTCAGGAAAATGTTAAGAAATCCATTTAGGAAATTTTGAAGGATTATGTTGATAAATTGAGGATGTATGAATAAGAGCAAGTATAGTAATATTTATAAAAAGGATGAATATGATGTTTACATAATTTCTTAATAAATTTATGATAGAATGTATGGATGAAATTGTTGTTGACTAGAAGAGAACATTAAAGGACAATAGCAAAATATGCATACCTTAAATAGAGGTTATTATAAGGAGTAGAATTAACTCAGTGTGTATCAATTATTCTTCAAAGGTCAAGAAAGGTGTACCAAGATTTATAAAACAAATAAACTATTTGTATTGTGGGATAGTTTGAGGAAAGGCATAATAGACTTTATCTCATGTTAGTTTGTGTGCAACACTCTAATTTACTTTGTGCCTTTAGAAAGCCTTACAAGAGACTTTGGGTGCTATCATAAACTAATGATCTATATGAAGGGATAGTTTGAATTTTAGACATTATGCCAAGATCTTATATTTTGAACTTTGGTCATTAAAAGTTAGGATAACTACTGACTTCATTGTAAAGTGCATATAATAATAATTATAAAACTAATATTTAATATTTGAGGAGTTATAAGATAAATGATGAGGATTTCTAATTGAATGGTTTGATATTACTTAAGAAATTCGAGACAGGATCTAATGCAAGATGCTATTAAGAAGGTGAAAGTAATTAGATAAGGATGGTTAATAGCCTAGAGTTAATAGAAGTCTTATGTTGATAACAAATATTAGGAGTTAGAGTTTATGGTTAGAGACAAAGTATATCTCAAGGTGTCTCCCACCAAGGGAGTGAGGAGATTTGAGAATAAAGGCAAGCTAAGTTCGAGATATATTAGCTCCTTTGAGATCTTAGTGAGAGTTGGTGTCATCACTTCTCGATTGACATTGCCACTTGAACTATCGAGTATTCATCCGGTGTTTCATGTATCAATACTACAAAAATGTGTGTATGTGTGTGTGTGTGTGTGTGTGTGTGTGTACTTGTACAACCCCTTTCATGTGATCAATACTCAAAGAGATATAGATAGACTTAGGTTTATCATATGAAAAAATCCCTGTGACTATTCTTAATAGATAAGTAAAGAAGCTATATAGGAAGTTGAAAGTAGTATGTATGTTAAGTATTTGCACTTATCCGAAATTTGAGGTAAGTGTTCATTAAAATTCAGAGGACCAAATTTCAAAAGGGGAAGAGAATGTAATGACCCTAAATTTTAAATTAAAAAATTATTATCTCCCAATTTATATTTTATTTAAATTTATTTTATGGTAAATGGAAAAGGGAAAATTAGTGAAAATTATATTAATAGCTTACTTGAAGGTCTAAAGTTTAAATATATTTTTTTTGAAATATATTAATTTTATTTAGTTTAAAATTTTGGAAAATTTACTAAAGTGCTCATGTCTTTTATGTTATTAGAGAAAATGTTGGGCTCTCTTTTGTAATATTTGCAATTTCTTAAAGTTTAAATTTATATTCTCCCTCGGTCAGATATGCACGCACCGCCTCTTTTATTTTTCTTTCTCCTTCTTCAAAAATTCCAGAACCGAGAGAGATCACCTCTTTTCTCCCTCTGTTCTTTCGGCATTCATCCTTGCTCGCTGGTGTGAGTGTGAGCCAAAGAGAGAGTCAAGAGTCTTGGTCCTTTGTTCTTCTTCATCCATTTCCTTTCTGTGTCTCTGAAGTGTACGAGTGAGGAGCTAGGCTGTTCAGTCCATCGCTGATGTCAGTGTTCGCTATGAATCCGCTACTGTCAAGAACCGAAGTCGCGAGTTCATCCACTCCCCTGCTCCTCCAGTGGTCTTCTTTTCATGCAATGGTGATGCCTAAACCTCTCTCCCCTGTTTTTTTTTCATTGTTGAATCCTACTTTCTCATTTTTTTTCTTTGATCTGTTATCGGTGCTCAAGTAAGAGAGGAACTGAAATTATTGATCTCTTTCACCTTCTCCTTCCTTCCTCAATTGCCTTCAACATTGCGAATATGGTTGTGAGCTTGAACGCCATCCGCCGCTATTGGAGATCTAATACATGATTTCTCCTACTCCCTGTTTCGTGACGCTCTCTGATCTCTATTCAGCCGGCTGTTGTGCATGCATGAGGATCTCTTTCTTCCTCTTCGAACAACAGTGTATCCTCTTACTTTTTGATATTATTGATCAAAGGAAATTTAGAAGGAGAGGAAATCGATTAATGTGGTGAGAAGAGGACTTTATACTTTGACAAAACTTCAGGTAAATGAATAACGTCCCAACTAAATTATCAATTATTTTTCTTGCCGAAAATTTCTATTTTTATATAGATTATTTTAATAATAAGTATGTTGATTAGTGGATATTTTGTTATTTAAATTTCTTCACTTTTAAGTTATAAGATAATAGTGAAGAATATTTACATCATGGCACATGAATGTTTTACCCCTTAATGCTTTCAAGATTGATAAAAATCATTTTCACTAGCTTTGGTAATTTTTGATTATTCAATAAATGCAAGCATGAATATTGGATATGAAATTTTATTTGGCAAGTTTTGATGCCTGAAAACTATTCATGCGAGTTTGATTTCAAGAAGAGAAATTATATTTTGCAAGTGATGATTTTCTCGCATATTTAAAAATGAATTTGAAAGGGACTTTATACAGAACATTAGTTGCTAACGACAGTTCTGTTAGCCCTCGGTGCGCCATGGTTCACCTAGCTAGCAGGGTGCTTATAAGAGGTGCTAGCCCCGTGCGATGGCCAACGCACGTGGAATGGAGGGATGATTATTCGTGAGCATTGTACTCATGTTTGATTTTGTGGCTTTGAACCGCATTTAATTAGTATTACCATCGTGGACTGTGTGTCCACATTTGTTTCGTGACTTCAGCTGCATTTGGTTATTTACCCTTATGAACTATATGTCCACGTTTGTTAATTGTTTTGATAAGTCCCTATAATTATGAGTTTTTAATCATTTGATGGATCTATTTTCATTGATTTTGATTAATGACATATTTATAATTATTTAATGCAATTATTTGCTTTACTAAAATTATATGGTAATGACGTTTGATATGATACTTTAATGAATCAAGAATTTATTTAAAGTTACATAAAGTCCTTTTATGATGAAGTTTTTCAAATATTTGTTTATAAAAATTGTTATTTCTAACCCATATAATCATGTTAAACTTCCTTTTTATACATATTTAATTATTTATTATTAGGATTTTATTCACTAGAAATTTATTTTGGTCTCAAATTTATTGTCTAACACTAAATCTATTGCTGACCTCTGAGGGGCATACAACTGCTCTGGGTGAAATTTTGTTTAGCACTATTTCCCAATGGTGTAAATATTTGAATTCATGTATTTTATTTTGGAAGTAAGGTTAGATGCTCCACATCACCTATAACTAGGATTCTATTTTGATATATGTTATCTGCTAGATGGAAAAAGTTGAGCTCTTGATTGATATTATATTTTATGTAAGATAGAGTGTTGTAGAAGTTTTTATAAGATTCTATTTATTGGGGAGGTTCTACCAAAATTTTAACAAAAATATTAAAACTTTTATTATGAGTTTTATTATGTCATAATTTTTAGAACAAATTCAACTATGCTTTAAAAAAATAGAAAGATTTCTCAATTTAGGGCTTAAGGGATGTGCGATAAGGTTCACATCCCATGCCAATCACCCTTTATTTTTGGGGCGTGACACTAGTTTAGCCTAAACTTGGCCTACATCTAATCCTCAAGATTACCTTAAAATTTTTAACTAAACTCATAAGCTTTAATGGATGCTTGCAACCACAGTACAAACTCCCAAAACTTAATTAGTCTTGATTCAACAATAAACCTTGCTACAATTAGAAGTTGTTATAACTCACTTGAAAAATCTCTTTTCAAGATTTCTGCTAAAATATCTCAAATATGAACTCTCTTAGACGAGTAGATAGATTATAATTGAAAGCTTGGAAACTAGTAAGAGCTTTTTTACAAACTTTATCAAGAATGGTAAATAATGAATGCAAGACTTTGATGCACAACTTTGAAAAGTTTTTTAAGAATGGTCAAATGATGAATAGTTTACTCAAATATCAGAATTCTTATTTTGAACTTGAATTGTATCACATATATAGTTTTGGCAATTGACAGACTGTTGAAACAGTGTTTATAATCGTTGGTGACATTTCTTGCATGTAACCAGTTGGTTTACACGTGAAATGGAGCTAGCCAAGTTTCAATCAAGCATATGTGACAATTCAAACATGAATATTAGGGTGACTCATGTGTGTTTTAGAGGATATGAATATATAAACCATTATGTGTGACAAAACATGCGTGTGACCCTAAGGTTCTCAAACGTGAAATGGCTGGCAAAATGCTAAAGCCATTCTGTGTGACAAATCACTCATGAGACTAACTCTTTATCATGCGTGGAATGGTTGGTTCTAAAACCAAAAACATTATGGAAGATGGATCACGCATGGAACACTCTATCACACATGCGTGAAATGGCTAGTTACAAAACTAAGCCATTCTAGAAAACAAAACATTTGTGGAACCAATGTGCATTCAAGTAAGGATTTCATGATTGAAGATACTTAGAACAGTAAGTGTACATGATGAATTAGGCTTGAAATGGCTTAAGACTTACTTAGCTAAAATGTGTTCAAAAGGCTTAGTGACAAATCACACGTGAATTCTTTCCCATTCAAGCCTAAAATGGAACTTCACAATATGTAAAGGAACACAAGATGATAATTCAAGTGTGCATACCCAATGACAGCTTGTATGAAATGGAGCACAGAAGCTTCATCAAAGCATCACACAGACATAAGTGACAAATCATGCATGGATCACTACTGATTTTGGCTTAAAACGTCAGTCAGTGTGCCTAAGATAATAAATCACATGCAGGACCATACTGAATCACACATGGATCATTAGACAGTGAAAACCACAACTTCTATGATCTACTTTAAGCTAGAATGACATACCTCACAAGCTTGAATAGACTAAGACAAGTCCTAAAATGTACAAATGAGATTTATGACCTAAGAATGATGCACTCATTTCAATTATGATAACATGTGATCTAGCTCTCAAAGTATTCATATTGAATCTAAGAGAATTAAATAACTCATCTTATAAAACTTCATCTTCTCTTGATTCTCCATGTTCTTAAGGTTTTTGTCTTCATCCATGATTTTTTATGTATCTACACACATAGCAAAAACATCTTCTCTTTGGTTTTGTAACCATCAAAACATATGATTCAACATTCTTGCTTTTAAGTTATGGCTAGATGGTATAAGTATAGGTGTTGTAATGGAGTTAGTGTCTATAATTTCCGTTCTTAACTTCCTAGACGATGGTAAGCCTTAGGAGGTGAAACCTACACTTCTTTAGTTTGTTAATGCATGACATGAATATGTATAATCAACTTTTGGTAATGTGAATGCTTGAAGCAAGTTAGTAGGCTAATGGTTAATATCAGGGGTTTAGGGACACTTTGTTAAAGTTGAAAGCATTTTGTGCATGCCTTTCATCCAAGGTGTCCAAATTTCCCATATGTTACCAGATAGGGGAAAGGCTGGTTCCATTAGTTAGATTGTTGATTTATCTATGTATAAGCGCTTAGGTCACTTTAATCGAAGGTCCAAGAAGTTAATTAGGTGCTTTGGAAGTTTGATTTTTGCTACTATAAAATTTGTGATGATATGGCATTGCACTGTGGTAGATTTCTTGGTTAACTACAGTGAATGCATGTGGATGAGCTGGTCATAATGGAAAAGCCTGTTAGCTGTGGTAGATAGCCTCTAGGTCATAGGCCACCCCGGACATGCATAGTGCTATCTAAATGACTATTTTATCCTTGTCTTAAAGCTATTTCCATTTTCCATGTTTTTGCATATTATTTATACTCTAATTCTTGGGAAATACTTTGTAAATATTTTTTGAATGACATTTTGGAATCCCAACTTCCAAGTTAATTTTTATGAAAGAATTATCTCTTGTGCCATGGTTGATCCTTAGTCATTAAAGGTTGTTATGATTAGTTGAATTTGGTTAGAATTAATGATAAAAGTCATTGTAGGGCTTAGGTCCAAATTTACTCCCTTCAATTGGGCCCAGGTGGCCCCATTCACTCTCTAACCTACTTCCAAGCTACCAACAAGTCCAATGAGTCCATTAGTCACCCCTAAACGTCATTTACTTAATTTTGCACCAAATTACAAATTTATCTCTTATTAACTTATTAATCATGAAATAAAATTTTGAGATGTTACAATAGTGACTTCTATTTTATTATATATTCTATGATAATGATAGATGCGGTCTAAAGGTAATGTATTAAGAAAGCTATTATTTCCCATTAAAGTAATGTATGGGTGAGAGGAAGATTACATGATATATACACACCTATGCAAGCTATGCTAATGTTTGAGACATGTCTCTTATGATATCATTTTATGGTTTTCATTAGTGTGGACACTAGGTATATGAGAGAGGCAATCTAAGTCTTATACTAACTCAAGGGATAAGATCAGCCACAAGAAATGTATATGTAGGTAAATCCAAGACATATGAAGCACAAAGTAAATATAAGAACAAATCAACTTTAAAGTTATTTCATGCTAGTCCAAAATAAAATTTCTAATACAAATGCCCAAAATGAAGATGTTATGTCCACACAATCACAACAAAGCATCTTGTATGAAAGGAAATAAGAGAAGGAGAAAAAATAATTCTATCAAGTGTAAGTGTGAGATGTTATATTTAGTCCATCCTTGGTATATTTGGGCCAAGCCCATTTTGTATAGACTAAAGTTGTAGCCTTCCAATCTAATTTGTTCCTTCTATGATGTTGTATCCTCATGCATGATTAAAAATGGGCGTGTAAGGAGCCAATTCCAAGCTAAACCTGTCCCTGGCTTCAGATAAAATTCAAAGAATATATCTATATGTGTGTGTGTGTGTGGGGAAAAATATAGCTTTTGGTCTCTATACTTTGCTCGCATTTTATTTTTGGTCCCTGTACTTTTTCAGTATTTTAGGTCCCTACACTTTTATTTTTCATTATTTTTGGTTCCTTTATGAACAAAGTATCGGAATTTTGGAGGAATCAAAAACAATAAAAAATAAAAGTGTAGAGACTTAAAATACTAAAAAAAATAAAGATAAAAAAAAGTGAGCAAAGTATAGGAACCAAACGTTATGTTTTTTTCTATATATATATATATATATATATAATATACAAGAAGCCGACAGACAAAATTTAATCAATTGGTGAAATCAGTTAAATATCAAGTTGTATTGACCAAATTGTCAAACTCCTAGCTCTTTTGGGCAACAATAAAAAAATAATTATTAGTCCTAATATATAATAGACACAAGAAACAGCTATGCCTAGCTAGCATAAATCCAAATAAAAAGTAACAAAAGCTGAAGACAGTTTTATTTCCTTCTTTATTTTTGCTAATAGATACTTTCTACCAAATGCCTCTCTATGATTTAAACAAGTTGGAACCTGAAAACAATATTTCTTACTAGGTTGCTTCTTCTATGTGCTTTCCTAGTTTCCTTACTGATAAGTGATAATGCCACTTGCACAAATGCACAATTCTGAAGTTATTCTATGAGCAATGACAAACTTCCAATGTCATTTGGCCAACTAATTAATTTATTCTTTATTATAATGCAGGAGTTTTCAAGTTATTATTTATTTATTCTTTAGTTAAATGTTATGATCTTTTAAGTGTTTGTAGTACACAGAATTAGATGAACGAACGTAATTTCATGGATGAAAAATATTTTTGGGAAAACATAATTATTGTGGTTGCTATAATTTTAATATGTTTTGATATATGTATCTATAATTTTTTCCATTGCTTTCCCTGTAGTTTATCAGATCTGTACGTTGGTTTCTCTATGTTTGAATATTTCTAAAAGAATGAGATGAGGTTGCATCAATGATGTTAAATATATTGACATGTGATTAATTAATGTTTTTAATCGTTGTGCTCAAATGAAATTATGATTTAACAGATTGGAATTTTAAACATAAAACAGAACAAGATGGACAACACTTGTGATTTATTAAATCATAATTCCACCTCAACATATTTAGCATAGTTAACATCATTAATGCCATTTCATCATTCTTATGAACATATTCAAAAATAAATGGACTGACATTGTAAATGAGATATAATTAGAGAGACTTGAAATAACAAAAGAAAATTATAGGGATTTATACCAAAACAAGTTAAAATATAGGGATCAATAGTTATATTTTTCTCAATATCTTTTTATGAGATTTTAAATGATGATAGTTAATTATTGTTGAATAATAACGGAATATATAATCTCCCTCTGATTCAAAATAATCGTTAATTATTTAGGTTTTAAATAAATTAATTATTTTTTGGACGATTTTATCCTTCAAAATGAAGAATTACTGATTTGGACAGTATAATTTTTTTAATGAACCTGATTTGGACAATACTATATATAAATAAGAGTTGTTTAGTAAAATGCGATTACATTTTATTAAAATTTAATTTATTTATAATTAGGTTGTTTAATTTGTGTGCACATAACTCTAAAGTGACAATTATTTTGGAAGGGACGAAGTATTATATATTTTATTTTTTGTGTAAACAAAAACTAACTAATCAAGCCTTTGTTGTGTGAAGCATGTAGGACTTACGATTTTGTTTATAATTTGAAAAATTTAATCATTTGTTCTTTATAGTTCTAACTCAATTATAAATCAATCTTTAAATTTTACCTTTTACTACTCAGTCCTTATAGTTTCAACCATTTAAATATTGATTAATATATTTTAAAAATATAATTATAAAGATTAAAAATATTTTAAACTTTTAATATTTATAATATGTATAAATATTAAAAGGGTTTAGTAATTTTAAATATTAGTAATAAATTTTAACATAGTTTTAATTTTTATAATTTTATTTTTAAGATATAAAGACTAATATTTAAATAATTAAAAATATAAGAATTGAATTATAAGAGTCAAAGTTTAAATATTGAATTACAACCGAGTTAAAACTTCATGTACTTAGTTACAATGAGTTAAAGTTTAAGAATTAAGTTATAACTAAATTAAAATTATAAGTATTAAATAATTAATTTTTTTTATAATTTTGTTGTGTTATGTGAGGTGAAGCATCAAGATTAGTAATGGAAAAGCATTCACTTCTTTATTATTTTTTTTTTTCCGCCAAGACATTTACGTACTTCTTAATAAAATCTATCTGAAGTGGATAGGTCTGTGTTATGAGGTCCGGTAAAACGTCAATTCAATATATTTATTGTCTTCTAGTATGATTAATTGTACCTTTTTCTTTCAGACAAATGGAAGAATCTTCAATTGGGTGAGTTATAGAATTTATAATATACGTTGTCTTGATTTTAAACTCTGACTTCGTTTAATTTTTTTTAATGTAAAAAGTATTTTATAAAGCTCATAATCAAAACATCAAACCATTAATGACTTTTTCTTCATTACAAATCAAACTATTAATTGAAAACAAAACTTGAGAATTTGGACTATATATTTAAATTTAGAACCAAGAAGATGATTATATATAAGTCAAATTTTCTAAATTAGCTTCACAACTCGTATCTTGCTATATACTTTTTTCATTAAAAAATATAAAGTATTTTTAATTAAATTTTACCTCTATAAATTTGTTAATTACTTTTAAACTAATAATATTTTTTTATATTTATACTTATTTAATAGGGTGTCTCACTTGAAAATAAATATAATTAAAATGTTTTATTTATTAAGGTAAATTCTGAAAAAAATACATTAATTACATCTTAAAATGCTAAAAATATTTTACAGCTTTAAACATCTAACTCCTTTACAGTTTTTGATGAGGAAGCATTTTATATTTGGTAAAAGTATATTTTTATCCCTCCAACTTTATTAACCACATTAATTTTATAAAATGTATTTTCAATAATTTAATCTTACACTAGTAGTCTCCTGAACACATTAAATGCCAACAGTAAAATTTTAAATATTAATAAAATATTTTTTAAAAAATAAAAATAATCAGATCAAATTATCATCACTTTATAATTCTTTATCATTGTCACTTAAAATTGAAATCTTGATATTCTCTATAATTAAAATTAATAGTGCTAGGATTAAATGATTGAACAAAATCCCTTTATGAAATTAAGGGATCAAATTAAGGCATGATATAAAGTTAGAGGATAAAAAGTACCTTTTATCTCTTTATATTGTTTTATGTAAAAAACTGATATATTTATCATTATATACTTAAAATATTTTTTTAATTAAATCAAGATATGTGTATCTTTATATATTATTTAATCTATAACAAAATTTTTTATTAATATTATTAACATATTAAAATTCATATCTCTTAACTTGATTAGATAAAAGTATATTAAATATATAAGGTTAAGTACATAAGTCTTGCCCTTTTTTATATCAATAATATAAATTTAAAATTTACTATGCACATTTACTTTGAACTATTCAGATTTAAAACATTTAACTTGTAATAAAGAAAAAAGGAAGATCCAGTTAATTAGGATACTATATTTACTTTTAATATTGTATTTACTAAAATAAAAAATTTATAAAATTATAAAAAATTTAATATTAAATATGGATCATTCAAATTAATTCTAGATAATCAAATAATACAAATTATAAAAAAATTAATATTAAATTTTGACAATATGAAGCTAAAGAATCCAGATTGATAGTGAGTAGATCTTGTAAAAAAATTTATTTTAATAAATATAAAATTAAATTAAAAATAAATATATGTATTTTGTGCTTTCACAGATTTAAAATAAATTTTATGCCAGCCCTTCTCTCTATCATAAGATCAATCTAATGGCAAATATGAACTTACTTCCCAGCCGCGGCACACTATCCATGGGAGGGGGCCAAATCCTACATACTTAACCTGAAAATTGACCTTATCTTTACTTCTTTCTTTCTCTCCTTGGACAAGTTTAAGAAATATCATCAAATTCTTTTACTATATTATTCACAAGTTGTACAATGTTTGATATTAATGACATTTATTTTAATAGCAGAGATTTAAATTTAATAATTTATTTAAGAAGGATTTGCTTATTGATTGGATTACATCTCAAATTATTATTTTTTAATTAAGAGATAGTCTACAATTGTCTGTCATATATACCTCCCTAGCTCCATGTCCTCTATATATATTATCCTCTCTCTCTTTATGAAGATTCATCTTATTAAATTATCTCCTACATCTTTAATTTCTATAGCTCTCTAGCTCGATCGCCATGGACAAGCTTTTAAGAAATCTCAAGTTGTTGTTCTCATTATCCTTGCTTTTCTTCTTCTGATCACACACTTGTTACCTTCCTCCATTAGACCTGCTTTCTTATACTTCATCTTCAACTTCCTCATCATATCTCTTGGTGCTGAAGCTGGTCTTCTCTCATTCTCATCAGCTTCTTCTTCTTCTTCTTCTTCTTCTTCTAAGCCATCATCATTACATACCAAAACAACTTCTTTTTCTGCTTCTTCTTCTCTTACCCAGAAACCTGTAATAATGGCCCATGAAGCTATAATACCTGAGGTAAAGGAACAAGCTACTTCTGTGTCATCAGAACATAATAATGAAAAGAAGGCCATCCTTGCTAGGGTTAAAAAGCCAAGCCTTTTCTTCATAGCATGTGAAGAAACTGAAGCAGAGGAAGCCAAGAATGATCATGATGAGCTGTGCGATAAAGCTGAGGCTTTCATTAGGAACTTTTACAAGCAGTTGAAGATGCAGAGAGAGGAGTCTTGGAAGAAGATTCATGAATTTCATCAGAAAGCCTTTTAATATTCTGCTTTTACTTTATATAATTAATGTGGCAGTTAACATTGGTTCTGGGGATGATCTACTAGTTAAAGGGATTAAGAGATGTCATTTTCATTTCTTCAATAATGATCCATAGGTTTGGTGCAGATTTTAGTTTATGATAGGTTTTGGCCAAAAAGTGAAAGGTGACATTGTACAAATAAATGTTGAAATGTTAAATATGTAAGATTAATTTGCAAAAAATATCCATAAATATTTTACGGGAAATTACAGATATCTTAAATTATTTGTTACTCAATGTGGAATTTTGCTCATCAACACTTCAAAAATGATGCAAAAATTTTCAATATATAACAAAGTTAAGACATCGATCTGTCAAGTAAGGATTATGGGTCTGTATAACTTTCAGATTAGTTTTACTTCAAAGTGTGTTTATCTAGCTATGAAGTGTGACAAAAATAAAATATTGTGCCTAGAGTTGCTGTCAATTTGAACAAATTTTAACACATGTATTTACATGCTACACTTCAGGTCAATCAATATTTCAACTTTACCAACATTCATAGTCAACATTTGTGAATGCATGTACCTATATATGTCAGGTATATATTAATAATTTTGTATCATTTGTTAAAATTGATAAGCCAAATTACACTATATACTTAAGTTCATTATATAAATATATATGTAGATCCTTGTAGAATACTTTATAGATATTTTTTCCTTTTTAATTAACCCATTTACACTTGAGGCAACATATGGGACTCATTCTTTACATAACAAAACATTTAGCATCTATTGTATATGGGTGAATTAATTTTGCACTGTTTTTTTTTTAAATTGATGGACGAAATGGCATCATAATATAGTTTAGGATATCTATAGATCCTTTCAAAATACTTTATGGGTATCTTCATTCTTAAACCCTTGAATGTATTATGAAGCATGTGATACGTACATATAGCAAAAATTACAATTCACTACTAAAAAAAGAAGCTTTGGTGGCATTTAAAATTTTAATTTTATGATGTTTATAAAATGTTATAAAATTTAATAATATAATAGGTATCAAGTGATGTTTCATTAATTATTGAAACACTATGAAATTGGTAAAAGAGCGAGGGCATCTCTTTTTGCAAACACCACTTCTTTGATTTTATTTTTTCAAAAGAAACTAAGAGAGGTAATATTTACTTCCTATTGAAACACTACCTTTATTACCTACAAAGGTGGCATTTACAATAAGTACAAACACTACCTCTATGACAAATTTTTTAAAAATTAAAAATTCAATAAAGGTGGTGTTTATACATTCGCGTTTATACAATGTATAAACACCACTTCTACAATTTTTTTTTTTAATTTAAAAGAACATAGGTGGCATTTCTATACAACTAAAATGCCACCTATGTTGTTTTAGTCCATAGAGGTGGTGTTTCTTCCACCTCTTTGGTATTATTTTTTAAAAAAATCATATGTGGTGTTTCTTTGTGAAAAAAAATAGGTGGCGTTACTTAATTTTATTTTTTAAAAATAAATTTTTTAAAATATTGTACATTCAAATTTTTCATCAGAATAACAGATTTAACAATATACAATTAGTCCAACAATTTATAAACAATCCAGCTATACAATAAAAAGTTACATAACATATATTTACAATACAACAAAGTAGTTTACAACTACATTAATATCTTTAAGTTCTCTAACTTGGTTAAGACATCTAACAGCCTCAAATCTTACAAAATATTTAACAATTACCAAAGTTTTAGTGTCCTAAATTCAAAACAAATGATGATCACTCTTCAATTAGATCATAAATTTGCTCATCACTATATTCCAAACACTTGTGTCCTCATAATACTATAAAATATATTAAAACAAGAAGTCATATATAACTAAAAATTATCAAACCCAAATAAAATTAGATAAATTTTTATATCTCAAATGAGATAAAAGTTTGACCATGAGTGATCACATCCTTCATAAATTTCATAATGTAGTACCCACAATCATTATCATTTTGTTGGAAAGGGCACTAAAAAAATTACTAAAAAGTAATATAAATTTATGAAGCAAATAAATTTATTTTTCATAATTCAATAAAATCTTTCATGTATAAATATACCATAATCTTTGTTCATTAGTAACTCTTTGAGAAGTCTTTATTTTTTGTAAAAGGAAAGCTCTTTGTGACCCCAAAAACTGTTCAATGCCCTATCAAAATAGAAAAAAAAATTAATCAATGATAATTAATGCAAATATATTTGAATATGTAAAATGATTCTTATAAATATAAATAATTACTTATTGAATAACCTCAATATATTAGGCCAATCTGTTATCATGCCTCTAGATAGAGGATTGAGATAATAAATTAAAGGCAAAGGAACAGCCACAGGATTGATAACAATCAAAATTTAATGTTTTCTAAAAAATTTAAACTTTGATTATATTCTAATATAAAATTGAGGTATCTATCAAGTCAAGAAATTAAAAAAATAATTAATAAAATACTTATCCCGTGTTATAAAGTATTAAGAATAACATACTTTTTTTCAACTACTGCCTTTCCTATGAATATTTCTTTTACAAGATTTACTTATTTAAATGCACTCAACGTTGACCCATGACTAATATCATGAGAACTAATAAATGAAAATCTATTCTCTTTCTCTGTGTCTTTTAAAAAAGAAATGTACAAGTACTTTGATAAACATCAGAAAAATGTATTAAAATCAATCACAATAGGAAATAAAAGAATCAATATCAAAAGATGTTATGAAACAAGTACCTTATTCAAATGTTGATAGCAGAAGCAATAATGCATTCTCAATTAAGTATTTCCACTATAATATTTCTATCAAAATATTTTCAACTATCTTTAAAAAGATTTTTTCTTCAAATTTTATTTCAATTGTTTGGTCATTAGTAGTAAGCTTTGCCAAAAGAAAACAAAGAGCTTCACGACAATTATTAGCTCTTTTCATCTTTAAAGCTCCATGATATACACTTTTTTGCTTATGTATGGAATTAAATTCCTTGAAAATATTACCATGCACTTCAATTATGTTCTTATTTTTTTATTTTGATTGAGTATGTAAAAATAAAAAAATTAAGTCATATAATTATAATTATATTAAAATATTATAAGAAAGGGTGAAATATAATTACCTTGTTAAATGACTCAATGAGATATAGAGGCCATGCAACAAAAGTGCCCTCAACATCTTTAACCAATACAATATCGTCATTAAGAGGTATTGATAACTTAGTATCATCATTAGTACAAATGTCCAAACAATGCCCACGACAACTGCATTTTTGAAGGGAATTTCTGTGTACAATTTGCATGTTGATTCCTCATAGAAACAAATAAAATATTTAGCAATTTATATTGTAAAAATGATAATAACCTTAAAAGTTATCTAGAAAAAGTATTGCTAGAGGGAGAGTGTGATAGTCTGACACGAAAGTGTAACTATCTCTCAAACTAGGTCTTTCAATTATTGCAACTCTCACCAAGCCATGTTGCATCAAATAAATTTTTACTTTGTTCTTGTAACTAAAGATATTGTTCTTCATAATGTTGCTTGCACATATTATGTTCCAACATTTGTTGCCGAAATACATTCATTTTCTCTTTCAACTCAATAATGACACTCTTGTTTGAGCGTCTTTGACCCTCGAAATAAGTGGTTTGGGTAACACCAAAACCAATCTCTCTGACACGACTAGGGACTTTTAAAACATTTAATGCTCTACTAAGGATGTCATCACAGCCAAATTGTTGTGCTTCTTCAAGCCTTTTCTTGTGACAAAGTTTGTTGTCATATAAGGATCATAATAGAATATTTATAGAATGAAATCATGTAAATAAAATTTTAAATATGAACTAAATACTAATACTTACACAAGTCTACTAAACTTGCCTCATACCTTCATCTTCAATTTCATCTTTTGAATTTAATCATCCTTCAACCCACACTTCATGCTGTGTAAGTTGTTCACAATTTAAATTATCTTTTTGGATCTACATATTAAAACAATTAATTGAATTTATAAATCACTCAAACATATGTAATAGATGAATGTAATAATTATTGAATATAAGACATATACTTTATCTTGTTCAATGAATACGTATCCTTTTCTTCCCCTTCTGAAGCAATATTTTTGGCATTCAGCTAGCTAATGATATCGCTTGCTTTTCACCTATTCAAATGCAAATTGAATTCATATTAATTTTATATGAGTAAAACTATATTTAATTGGCAAAATATAGAATTATTTACCTTAAATTCTTCCGTTGTGTGTGTTGGAACAAATTAATCCCATTCTTCTTGAAATATGATCCTATCATAAAGCTCCAGTGGATGTTCAATGATATTTTGATTATTATTTATTAAATACCACTTGCAAAGATCTGCTCAAAATTTTCTAAGAAGAACACCGGCTTTTTTGAGGACATACATTCTATGAGCCTTGTCAAGATCAAAACAAGATTGTAAGAAAGAAAATAATTTGGATCACTATAAGTATAGGAAAAAATAGTCAAAAAGATAAAATATTAATGGCTTTTTTTTACCTCAATTTGTTCTCATATAAATCTCTTGTATTCATTCAGTGCTTTTCTTCAATTAGTAAATGTAATAGGCACATAGTTTCAAGCCACAACCCCAATATAATTGACTAGTTTTTTTCATTTGGTTTTATTGGCTAACCCCTGATATTCCAACTAACTTGTAGCTTTATTCTCATACTTCTATTTCTAATCAACCATCACAGTCTTACCATGACGAACATCTCGAAACATTTTCTCATTTACTGCTTCAGAATCATCATCATTTGAAATAGGGTAAGGCTCATGGTCACTATGAGAACTCATTTTCTTGCAAGTTGAAATCAACATATCATCACATGCATAATAAGAAAAATGAAAAAATTAAACCAAGTAACATGAGAAATCAAATTACTTTCTTGCTTTTTCTTTTTTTGTTTTAGACTTGATAGGTCAACTCATATCCCATCTCTATGATAATCTCTCATGTACAAGTGTTTCATTTCAGTTAAATCATAATTAAAAGATTGTATTATCCTGTGAAAAGGATCATCTTCAAGATTCATATCTTCATTACCTTGAGCTTGATCATCATCTTTATGTTTTTTGTTTGATAAAAGTACAATAGACCAGTTCTTTTTAGCAGGATTATGAACAAAAAACACTTGTTGAGCTTGTTCAGCTAAAATAAAAGG